AAGTGAACTTTGTACCACCTACAGGCCTTACTATTCCTTTTGTTTGCAGAGAGTTAAGTGGTCCTCTAGGGTTTCCACGTACAAAGTAGGGCAGAATCCAGGCTTTCTGAGTGAGCCCAGTTCATTGTCCCATTTTTGACAGTCTCAAGTCTAAATCTAGCACCCTCAAGGTCTGAGGGGGACAACACACCGACTTTCATACTTGATGCCAGTTTGCTAATCTGATATGAAAAACGAGAGAATTTTTAAATGTTTGGCGTGTTCCCTTCTGTGCTGCAGTCCTAACCGAAGACAACATACTGATATTTTAAAACATCAGAGGATCAGACCACGTAATCAGATCCTCAGGAATGCATAAATCTGCCTAGGGAAAAGAGTTTTATCCATAGCCACTCCAACTCTCTTTTTGGATATATCACTTAACAGATAAAACGCAGATTGTATAGCATGAATTGAAACTACGAGAGACTAAAAATTAGATGCTGTAGCCCCAAGATGTGTCTGATTTCTCAAATATAGAATAGGTAAAGCCCAAACTTGCACATGCATTTCTTTTGTCGCAGAATTTACTTTTGTGAATTCAAAAAACAAGGGCTTAAGAATTCACAGGTTAGAACCAGAAACCTCAGGTGTTTTTCAGGCTCACTGTCTTGTCTATGTCTCTCTCTGTCCACCCTACCCCCACCCACTCTCTACACACACACAGGTTTCTCACTGTTCTGAAGTCACCAAGTGGGCTAAACTTCCTAGAAAGCCCCAGGGATCTGCCTCCCCACCACTGAGGCTATAAATGAGTTTTTGGAGTTGAATTTAGGTCTGATGCTTGCAAGGCAAACATTTCAGCAACTGAGCTAGCTCCTCGGCCTTTGTTTTACCTCTTTAAAAGGGCGGTGGGGGCAGGAGTTTGAGATAAGGACTCAATACTTGCTCAGTCTGGCTGGTCTAGAGTTTGCTATGTGGATCATGCTGACCTCAAACTCGGAGACTGGCCTTCATCTGTCTCTCAAATACTTCAAATTAAAGATGTGCACCACTATGCCTGGCCCTTATTTTAAAAAGTCTTATTACTATATAATCATTATGCAAAATGGTAGGTTTCATTATGACATTTCATACATATTTATTATATACTTTTGTCATATCCACTGTTACTGTTTAATTTTTTATCAGAAAATGAGAAATGCATGATAAAAAATGCTCTTTTAAATTTGTTTCTGTTCATTTGTGTCGTTTGAAACCAGGTTGCCGTGCTGTCCACTATCAAAGCCGTTCCCAGTAATAGAAATTGTCATTCCTTACCTAAGGCAAGACTCTTGTACATGTTTCTAATTGTGGGAAGGCAAATGTGTGAAATTGTTCTCATCCTTCAGACATTTTTGCTGAATCCACTCAGTGCTGCCCCCTGGAGCTCTGTTAAATCTCTGAGTCAATGGTCATTCCCCAATGGGAAAGCCTAGCCTTCCCCTGTGTTTTCATAGTTTAGTTTTCCAAAATCCCATGATCTTGCTTTATTTACCTCAGCTGAAGATGTGTTTTCTCATACCAAAAAGCAAGAAGGGGAGTATTGCTGAAAGTCCTTTCCAGAGAGAGAGACTTCAGCAATGCCTGCCCCTCCTCTTCAGGTCCGAGGTCAAATGGACGCAATATCCTGCCAGAGTTCACTTCGAGGTACCCAGGAGTTTACTGGACTTCCTTACAGAACATAGGTAGGAGGTTACTTACAGGGATGTGACTGCTCCTCCCTGAGAGGTCACACCTGGAAAACCTTTACCCTGAAGGGATGAGGGCCCCCTCCTAGTAGCCTTTCCCGGCCCCCAAAATTCTAGGTCCTCCCCAAGAGCCATGCAGTTAAGACATTTGCATACACAGGTGAGGGCCTCTGGCCCTCCTTTACCCCAAATGCGAAAGTGTAAACAGTCAACAGCCCACCTGGGATGACGTGGGTAAGCAGCGCAGCTGAACTCCACGGGATGGTAGTCCCTTGGTTTTGAGTCCAATCACACTAGGGAGAGGGGAAAGAAAAGAACAAAAAATGTCAGAAATGCACAAAGAAAATTAACATTGTTGCTTAATCCACTCAATGCTGTTTACACACTCTGATTTCTCTAATGGAATCAAATGTTTACAAAAGATGTGTGAGATGCCCCTCAGTGGAACATCTTTGACCCTACTCACGTGGAGCAATGTAGAAAGCATTAGAGCTTTCCCTGGGTGGATAAGAACCAGGATTGGGGGGGAAAGGGGGTGTTCAATGGGAGTGTGGGTCATTGTGGAATGCTTGCCTAGCAATGCCTGGGGCCCTGGGTTCCACCCTAGATATTGCAACAACAAAAAAAGACAGAGCAGGGAGGTGGCAGGAGAGAAAAAGACAAGGGCCATGGAACTGAGTCCTGTCCAGAATTAGTCCTGCTTGCTTTCAGGCTGTTCTTTCTCTAATTACAGGACCTGGGTTATCAGAGAGTAAGACCTGCCCTACATGTGGGTGGCACCATTCCTGGTCCTGAGCTAAACATTGGCAGTTCCGTTTCTCTGCTTCCTGATATGCCCATTTGTGAACAAGGTCTCACTGCCACAGCTTCACTAAAACATTTTTAGGTGCTGTATTTGTGCACAGACGAGCTTTAATATTTTTAGATTTATTTATTTAGTGTGAGTGTGCGTGCACACGTATGCTGTGGTATGCACATGGAAGTCAGAGGACAATTTTTGGGAGTGCCTTCTGTCCTTCCACCATGGGGGGTTCCAGCGATTGAACTCAGGTTACCAAATTTGGCATACTACCAAGAGACAGGCTTTGTCTACTTTTGTCTTTGGTATGGTCTGAACAAGAATTTCTTGACTCAAGAAACTTGATCAGTTTTTTGCTGCCTCTTGTCCACTTTTAAAGAATGAATGGAATTATTTTTTCAGTAGATTGTAAAGACTTGGTGACTCTTTTCCTGTTGAAAGAAATTCCCATACAGAATCTTCTGAGATGAATTATCTTCTGTTGTCTAGGAGACTTAATAATCCTACTATCTGAATAGCTCCTGATTCTGTTATGTAGCAGGCCTTCTTTTGGACCACCAACCAACCCCCAAATCATGCTATGGAGAAATCATGCCACAGAGACTAGTTATTATAAGTGTTTGGCACTGCCCTCTGCTAGTTGTTGCCCCCCTCCCAGCTCTCATAACTTAATTTAATCTGTTCCTCTTCATCTATGCTTGGCCTTGGGGCTTTTTTACCTTTCTTGCACTCTGCATGTCCTGCTCCGTGTCCGACTGATTGACAGCTGCCTGGCTGGCCCCAGGCGTCTTCCTCTCTCCCTCATTCTCTTCATCTTCTCCCCTCGAGCCTAGAGTCCTCCTCCTATTTATTCTCTCTTCCAGCCAGCCCTGCCTATCCCCCTCCTGCCTGGCTATTGGCCGTTCAGCTTCTTATTAGACCAATCAGGTGCCTTCGGCAGACAAGGCAACGCATCTTTACATCATTAAACCAATGCAGCACATGCAAATGGACCACATTTTTGCTAGTTAAAGTAGTAATCCACAACAGGAGACATACTATGGCAATGAGGCTACAGTCTCCAGGCCCCTTGAGAGCCATAGAACAGTCGTGTTGTTTGGACATCATCACAAAACAGATAAAGGTCCTGCTTGGAAAAAAGTCCTAGGTGAGCTATAAACAGGAGGAATCACTTAAGAATGATTCAGATCGGGCGGTAGTGGCATATGCCTTTAATGCCAGCACTCAGGAGGAAGAGGCAGGTGGATCTCTGTGAGTTCGAGGCCAGCCTGGTCTACAAGAGCTAGTTCCAGGAGAGGCTCCAAAGCTACAGAGAAACCCTGTCTCGAAAAACAAAAGAATGTTTCAGATCAGCGGGACTGTGGTGGCACAGGCCTTGAATCCCAGCACTCAGGAGGGAGAGACAGCCAGATCTCTGTGAGTCTGAGGCCAGCCTGGTCTACAGAGTGAGTTCCAAGACAGGCTCCAAAGCTACAGAGAAACCCCATCTCAAAAAATAAAGAGTTTCAAATTATTTTAAAACCTCTGAAATCAGAGGTTTCTTAACGTCTCACATGGACGGGTAATTCCATGTGCATCTGTTTAGCCCCAGATTAAAAAGGGACTGAAAAGGGACTCAGTATTAGTTCACAGTATTAGTACTGCGTGATGAGCAGAAGGCATTATGGCAAAGATGGACTCTGGGTAGCTCCTGAAATGGTATGGTTCTATGTAGCGGGCTGAGAAAAGGCTGGTGTGAGGAGGGTGTTGCCAGGTCTGCCGGGGAGTTCAGATTTCATCCTGCAGAGGGTATTGCTATCAGTCAGCTCAGGATGCTTCTGCTTAATTTGAACTAGGAATTATCAAGAGGCAGGCAATGCCAACCAAACGAGGGGTTCCTAGTGTGGAAGGGCTATAGTCTGGTCTGCGTTCCTGTACTGGTGTGATCAATGTGGCTGTTGTGTATGGTATGTTTTTTGTTGTTGCTGTTGGTTTTTTTTTTTTCTGGTCTTTGCTCTCAGCATTGAGGTTCATGCTTAGCTATCTGCTCATGTGTCCTGAGGGTCTCTGTGCTTGGTGTACAGAAAGATGGCACATGGCTCATTATTGTCACCCAAGGAATGTCATATAGTAGCCATCGGGCATTCTGCACGCGTAGAGATTGAGGAAGATGCTACAAGCTTGGTAGGAAGCCACTAATACCTGAACCTGGTTATCTGTGACTATGTCCTAGCTCCTATCAAGGAGGAAGACCTTGGGGAGGGGGTTCCCAGAGACCTTGAAACAGCACAAAAGTGGAAGCCATTTTTAACATAGTGACTTTTCATTTTACAGAGTACTTAAGAGAAAAGCTTGAATATTCTGTTTGGCTGTTGGGTACATAGTCAGTTATACGCCACGGCTTGTTTGCTTGTTCTCTCTCTCTCTCTCTCTCTCTCTCTCTCTCTCTCTCTCTCTCTCT